TCAAATATATTTACTGTACTATCAAACTGTCAACCTCCAGTAAGCGGTCATCTRGTCTTTCCCAAAAGTGACCGTATAACAGAGAGCCTACTTTACGCATTACTTACCATGATTTCCCTTTCAATAACAGGTTCCTTAAAAAATAATTTAAGAAMAAAATACCATTATGTCCAAAATTAGGAATAGTTGAGTTTCGCGATTTCCTTGACTCAATTGTGTGCAAAATATTCAGAAATTTAGATAAAACTCGTGAAATTTCAAACTAATCCTATAGTCTTCTATACTCACGGAAGTCGTGGATTTGCACGGGCTGTTAGATAATATTTTCGTCCTCTCTAATGCCTATAAAAAAATGATGAATAAATAAAGCATTATTTTCCTAAATACAATGACAACCCTGTGCTCCCTCTCGCAATTAAAAATTCCCACGCACACCTAGAATAAATAAAAACTATTAAGAATAACTTTAAACCTGCAAAAGAATCTATAGTGAGCGTGATGTTCAATTTTAATGTCCTGGACGATATAGAATGTAAGAATGAAAAAGATTCGCATTTATCAATCGACCGCATTAGTACAACAAGTGCTCTTTTAAGGTGTGTTTTAGCAGCGCCTTTTTCCAGCTACAAATTTCATAACTTACGTAGGGAGTTATCAAAGCTAGCTTTATAAATGCTAAACCTAGTTATGAATCTAGAGCTAAACGGCATTATTTGACTTGCACAAAATACCCCACCCCAATGATGCCAACCAATTTACAGTTTCTTCTATGTGAAATCTCTTCATGATAGTAGCGAGTGTAATAGTACAGCACGCCAAGGTACCAAAACCACATTAATTGAGGTGTATTTGAGCTACTGGTTTATAAAAGAGAGAAAAAAGGGAATGTTTTTGGCGATAACAACTTTTTTTAACAAAGTTAGTCTTTTTGAGATGAACGATTTGTTTTTAACCATGCCGTTTTTTACCATTTTTGCTAAAACATTTTTGATATCACATAGTATGTAGTGGTAATTGATCTGAGTGGAGTGTAATTTGGTGCGAAATCAAGGGAAGATTCCCTGGAGCTGCCTGTGATTTCACATATGACATTTCTAGCATGAACCGAAAAACTGTGAACACTTTATATTTTTTGACGAGCTATCTAATGTAATAAGCTTTCTTATCGCTTCGAATWGTCTCAGAATACCTTCGATGGCTGATTTACCTTAATTGTATTTAGAGTCGTCTTAATAAAAATTGTTGTTCTTGTTGCCACGATGTTGTTTCAATTGATCTCATGAATAAATGCATAWGGGCGTTTGGTTTATTATAAGCAATAGTTACAACTTACCGATTCTTGAGTTCCACGGAAGAGCATCTTGAAATTTAAACAACATTACTTGGTTAACACCCAACTATTAAATAACTATAYAATGGGTTTCATTAACTATKAGCCTTGATTGCTCTAAGTTTGACAAAATCGTCGCTTTTAATCGTCGCTTTTATTAAAATATGATAAAGAAAAAGGAAAACGAGGCAATTWAAGTGTAATAGAGTGGTTTTATGAACCCGTGAAACAAAGTGTAATAATTATAATGTAATAGATCGTAATAGTCACGTAGAGAAAATAAAACCAACTTCATTAGCATTTTCAATTTTCAAATRCCTTTAGCTCAAAAAATGAAATTCAAACAACTTTTTCTTTTCAAAACAATGATTAACATCATATTTGCCTTTTGTTAAAAATRATTTTCTAAAATCGTTCATGWGCACTTTAAAATCGAAGCATTYTCTTTCACTGTTTTAACCTTTCACTRTTTWAACCATTCTMYTTYACTGTTTTAACCTTACTKGCTTTCATYGATGCACTATATGTACGGTTAAAAATCTGCATTTGCATTTAGCTTACCCTGTCGTTCATCTCAATTTCCTGAAAAACAACATTAACGAAATCCAATCAGAATGAAGCWAACAAAATAGCAATGCGTGAGAGGGATTCTTACATACAAAATTCTCAGATTATTGACGAGCTGAAAGCTTCATACTGAGGAACACATTTATCATCACTTTATCCATTATCTTAATATTTATTAAAATATTTCTTTTTATCATACGTATGAGTTAGCGGAATCAAAGACASATGACGCGGGTAGCGACTATAAGTTTCATGTTGCTACACAATCATCAGGCTACGATGAACATTAATTTTTACACATCTCGTATTTATATCAAGGAAATCCCTAATGGGTATTACATAAGAGAAATTTATTCCTATGTCGGCATTTTGAGATTAATTCAGTTGTTTTGTTAGTGTTAATATTGTTCTTGATTATAGTGAGTTTTTCAGTGAGGCACAGGTCACACTTTCTTGAGCCGCATCTTTTTATCATACATACTGTAACGCTTTGTTGTGATCCTTTTTCCTTGACTTTATTGCGATCAGAAACCAGAACTATACACTAAGAACCCGAACTTTACAACAATACTCGACTAACTAAAACACTGACTCGGCCCAGACTTCTGCGGACACTATTACACTATCCCCCTCTGAGAGAAGGGCACGTCCCGTTTCCTTATTACAAAACAAGTCAAAATTTATAGTCCTTAGCCCACACAGGGGATTTTCTTAGTCTTGCCGGGCGTCTTTCATCTTTGCGAACTAGGCTAGGTTCCGTGGTCTCTGGCCTTTCATGACATTCGTCAGGTGTCTTTTTCGAAGAAGGTCTTCCGTGGCTGTCAGCTGTAACTGGCTGGACTTCTTCAACGTCGTCTAACCAAGTGCTTTCCTTCTCTCCATGGTAGGGCCGGAGACGATCATGGTGAATAATTCTTKCTTTGGATCGAGGACTCTTCTGGATCTTATGCACAACATCACTAATCCTCTTCAGAACAAGGTACGGGCCTTCCCAGTAGTAGAAGAATAGCGGTACTGCAACACTAAAACCTTGGTTGGGTCTTGGTTGGGTAGCTATTTTTAGAAACGCGTATGRTGACGTCATTCAGATTTCTATATTTAGAATTTTCTCCACTTGTGAACCTTAGCTGGGTTTTGGTTCGGGGTAGTCCTATTTTTGGAATCTGTCCTAGTRACRTAATTGGAAAGTCTATATTTAAAAAGCTTWGTGTATAAATTTGTGAAGTGGCATTGGGAATTCATTCGTTTCAACAATTAGTTTCTTCAAATATGRAATGGTTAAAAGAAGAAAAAAGTGAATGCAGTCGTTGTTCAAGGTTCAAAACATTTCGGGATAAAACAGAATTTGTGYTTGACTATTTGTTCATCACGCAAGAGAACATTTGCCCCTTCTGTCTTGATTTTAAGACACCTGGAGAGATATGTGGAAAGTGTATCCAAGTGGTAGAAGCTAGATGTCAAGCCACTGYTACCAATTTCGGCGCGCTGTCCGTTACGCAATGTATGATTTGTAAAAATGAGAAGGATCACCCAGTTTGCTTTATTTGCCTCACTGAATTCAAAAACCCTCAAACAAAGGACCCAATGATCAATGAACTTCRACGCAAGACAAAATGTCAATACTTCGGTCGTTCTGCTAAGTTTTGATTCCGCATATAGTGATGTCATTTCTATTTCAATTTACCTGCTTTATAAATGTAGTGATTGAAACTTTAAAAAAAATCAAACTTGACTGAACTCTATTCGAGATGGATGCACTAACGTTTATGAAAGAAATGTTTGTTTCCACCTTTGCTGTAGAAGTGTGTAGACACCTTTGTGAACTTGAATTAAAGTATTGCTGCGGCTATTGTTTTAGAGACACAAACAGCAACGAATGCTTAATGCTAACAGATGGTGAAAAAATTGAACTCTTCTTTAAGCAAGCCCACCAGTTGGTGAACAAGAGAACAGTGTTTAATAGAGTGAAAAATYGCCTCAAACCCTTTGAATTCAATAGTGAAACTCGAAGAGAACTTCTTYGTTGGACACAAAGAAATCAAACACTGACAGCGGAAATGTGTCAAAATATCATAGAGATTGTTAAAGTCATTAAAAAAATGTATTTAAGTGACTGGAATAAATAAGAAGGAACAATAATGTCTCATCATTTTTTCTCGTCTTTTATTCCAATGTTCTCATGGAATATAGACTGGCATACATAGCGGACGACTCTGTGGTTACACTCACACATTTTTGAGATTGACAAAGAAGGATCCAAATTTCTCATCTCACTGTGCTTTGGAAAATGACATCTTTTTTATTATCATCATTATTAATTTAGATGATGTGAATTTACAAACCATAATTTTCAAGCGCTTTTGAAAGAACTTGGAATTGGATTCTATCATACTTTTAATGCAGACAACAAAGCAATCATTGTGGAAAGATTTAATCGTACTTTAAAACAGCGAATGTATCGTTATTTCACCTGGAAAGGAACTTTGAAGTATTTGGATATTTTACCTGAACTTGTTCATTCCTATAACAATTCTTTTCATAGAAGTATTAAGAGGACCCCAGCCTCAGTGAATGAACGAAATGAAGATAGTGTTTGGCTAACGCTTTATGGAAATCAACCTCCTAGGAAGGGTTATTCCTTTCAAGTTGGAGATCAGGTTCGAATTTCAAAGGCTAAAGGATTGTTTCAAAAAGGATATTTACCTAACTGGAGTGAAGAGATATTCACCATCGTWMAACGAAYYCCACGAAACCMTAATGTTTATAAACTRAAGGACTATGATAATGAAATTCTTKAAGKTACCTTTTATGAAGATGAATTGTAACCCATTCAAATTAAAGGAGAAGAAGAAGTTTATAAAATTGAAAAGATTTTGAAGACTCGAAAGCGAGGAAAGAAAATTGAATACTTCGTAAAGTGGTTGGGATATCCAACCAAATTATAATAGTTGGATTGCCAAAAGCGATATAGAAAGATAAAATAGGACAATGTTACCGCCAAACACTCCCTCAGAATCAAATTTGGATTAAAGTATTTTTGTAAAGAGTAATAGATTAATTCAATAAAGCACTTATCGTATTTCAAAAAAAAACATGTGTTATGTATCACTTACTTTCTTTATCTGCGCTATTTATACGTGTCCAATCCTTATATAAACAACATTATCTCCAACGATGTTTTTAATTCATTTCAAGTTGTTATGGAGTTAACACAATTTTATATCACGCTACCAAGTAATGCATCGATGGATGTTTTCCCCAATAATGCACTTAGTGAATTCAAAGTTAATCTCCCTTTTCATATGGGTTTAGATGGAAATTGGGAGGTGGGACTTACATCCATTACATACCCCCACACGTGGTTTACGATTGAAAATACTGACGTGCGATTTTTCTGTGATGGCGGTGGTGCTTTCTTTGACGCCATATTCATTCCACATGGGTTTTATAACGACATTTCTGAAGTTATTAAAGCAATAAATGCAGCTCTAGCCAAAAACGGAACGAAAGGAATTTCTTTGAAACTGGATAAAATAGAGCAAAGAGTAATCGTCACCTTAGGAAAGAACCAAAAACTGAGTTTTGAAAATCGACTGGGTGTTCTTTTAGGGTTTGGAACTAATACCATCCTTACCAAGTCCTTAAAGGCCCCCTCTGTGAGTGATATCAACGTGGGAAGGCAGTCTTTGTTTGTTTACTTGAATATTGTCGAACCTCAAATTGTAGGTGATGTACAAGCCCCACTTCTTCGCATCATTCATGTTCAGGGAAAAAAGGGGGAAGTGATTACCATTGGTTATGAGAATCCTCAATTTGTTCCTGTTACCAGGGTCTTATTAATTAAGAGATGACATCGGTCAGAAGATCCCATTTGAACGTGGTCGTGTGGTGTTAACATTAAACTTTAGACGCCGTCGTTCTCCTTTCTTTTAATGTCTCAACGAGGTGGAAATATGATAGTTTTTCATGGAAGACCTCTTCAAAGAGGATACGGTATTGGTTCATTTTTCTCATCACTAGCGAGGAGGGCGCTCCCTTTTTTTGAGCTTTTTCAACTTCTTTTTCTGGCTTGGGTTGATAGTTACAACTCCTTTAGAACGTTGAGGGAAATCTCTGCCAAGCACTTAATCAAATCCACGGGACAATTTTTTAAAATTGATTTTCTCTGTTTTGGATTGGATCGTGCTAAAACGCGAAGCAAATATAAGTTGTGTTTCATCCGCTGAGAAATCCTCAAATGATTTTGAGGCTACTGTGTACGACCTTGTGTACGCTTGATGTAGACCACTTGTTGTTCATCAGGAAAAACAGACGTCTTCAGTCTGAGGTGGTTGGGTGTGGTTGGATAAAAGTCAAATARTAAATATCCAAAGTTAGGACTTGTAGCGTCATCAAAACTTTCCATCACATAGGGTAGGTCTCGGGGAAAGGCTTGCCTTGCTAGAGTGGAWACTCCTAAGGAATCACGCGCATTTTTGAATGCGATAATGTAATGAGTGTTTAGAGAAATCGTTCTCGAGTGTTTGCTTTTACTGAACATAGCCTGCATGATATTGATTGTTGATATGAGTCGATGATGGCAGCCACGCGTCGCTAACTCCATCATTGAATCTTTTTGCGAGCTTTCCTTCATCAAATCGTCGAGAATTAACAAGCCAGGTGCGAGTCCGTGTCCGTAAACAGGGGGGTGGCTCGATTCTAGTATTTCGGTTTTATGACGTTGTAGTGAAAGTCATACATAAAAGTGCTACTTGCATGAAAATGGCCTCACTTCAAAACGTCAAGCAATACAAATATATGACTCATTTATATCTATTAAAAACAATTGCGGGAAAATATTTGTCTTSGHATTATCCCACATCAGAGAAATTTTGATTCAAAAGATGGAAGAACAAAAGGATTGAGTAGATGACGTCATCTACTCCAACATTTTTTGCCCAAATTATTAAGGATTTGCATGAATATTTTCTTGAAATCTGTTGCTTCATGATTATTCCATCCATATGGATAGGTCTATTTGATTCCCAAGTATTTTCTAATGTTTCGCAATTTTCGTCCAAGTAGCCCTTAAAGGTCTTGGATAGTTCGAGGATTGTGAATCCCACGTATATTGGGCGGTTGAGGTATAAGGTTGGTTGAGGTATAAAGTTGAGTGCTACAAGGAGCTACAATCAAATATTCTACAATAATCAAACAGGGGCGAGGCGGTCCATTTTTTCAATTGTTTTTCAGTATTGACCAGTTTGACATTGACACGTTTCCTCAAGTTCTCCATAGTTTTCCCAAAGACTGCATTATTCATTAGTTTAAAAAAATCCTTTTCAAAGTCATTTCTCGCCTGCTTGCGTTTATTCGTATTAAAGTCTATGTAAGTCTTGAGCCAGGGTGATTGATCAAAAGTGAGGACTCGGTGAATATTTTTAAGTTTCATACCAAGGGTAAGGTACTGCTGTAGGTTGCGATAGTGAAGGATATAATGATCTTTATCATGTAAATTCGGTACTAGTTTCTGTGATGGAGTGTATTTCATATCAAGTTTATTCATGACGTCAAGACAATAGGGTGATAACCATTCACGAGGAACTTGAAGTTTTTCCGGTGCTAGTGGATAATTATTATGTTCATTATGCAATTCTTTAGGGTACTCTAAGTCCACCTCTAAAATATACCCCTCTGTATCATCTGCAGGAATGGTCATGAGGTTTTCTTTCAATTCCTCAATCTCTTGAGGAGTCAACCAACCAAAGTTTTTAACAAGTAATGACTCACTCATGGCCGTACCGTATAAATTATTCATATCTAAATACATTATGTAATTATTCGGTTGTTCGGACGAATACCCTTGTACATATGAGTTATTCGCTATCGCGTAGCGATGCGTGATCATTGATATACCACCACGTAACCCGAATTCTATAAATAATACATATCGGGATCTGTGACTAACTCTAAGACCGGGCAGTGTATAAAAATGAACTGGATTGAGTTGGTAATAATCAAGACACAAACTTCGAAAATTCTCGAAAACGTCGGCTAATAATATCGTGTCTGACTTCAAATATATATCATGATAATCCCCCAAAGTTTGACACTGAAACTTTTAGAAAACGTCTTGCGCGTGCTCACAATCACTTTTGCTTACACACGATCCAGTCAAGGAACTAAAAAAGTGATTAATGGTTGGCAAACACGGCTCATCAAACCTTTCAAAACTGTCCATATACTCGTATGGATAAATCCCTTTTCTAAGAAGGAGATRAGCCTTGTCACCATCAATATACTTGGTTAGGGTTTGGAGTCTATCAATACCCTCCTTACTTAAATTATCTACCAGGAGTTCCAAGGAACTGTTCAAAAACTGGAGGGATTCAAGAAAAACTAATTTACCTACTGAAAACGTTATATATTTATCTGTATTGCTTGGAATACAAGTGATTCTTTCCGACTTTATTTTCACTAAACCTTGCATTGTGTGAGTCGTAATTTTTTAAATTATGAAGTAGCACTACAAGACGATCTGATATTTTGTAATTTAAGTTGCAGGATTGATGGGAAGCCCCTCTGTATAGACCACTGAGGTGGCAATGATCTCTTACTCTATCGTTTAATAATGGTTTCTTACAAATATGACATTCATATTGAAACTCTTTGAAACTCTTCCTCCTGCTCCTGTGTTATAACCATAGGGGTCACGTGACTTCGGATTTTAGCGATTCGCTTTTCCTCTTGTAATAAACATTCTAAAAACCTATCCACACAATCCTCTCCTCTATAAACCACTGGTGATTGCTCGAATTGCTCTATCGTTGACACAATGCAATAACAAAAACCGCAAGGCTTGTGAATTTGCGTTTTTTGCGTACCGCTGACCTCATCATTTAAAGCAGGAGTATTACATTCCACCAATATAGACTCAAAATCAGCATAAATGACAAAAGGTGAGCGCATTTGCTTTGCAAATTCTTGAAATGCTAATGTGGCATGGTTTTCGTCAGGCATCTGAATTCTTTGAGGCCSGTGAACAGCACAGTGTGGTTCATGTTCTTCTAACAATTCTTCTCGCACGAATCCGTGTAAACAGTAAACGCAATGATGCATCCTATGCTCATACCTATTCAGGCTATATAATAACCTATCTAAATCTCTTATGAGA